ATGTAGTGGGTAAAGTTCTTCCTTTGCATGTGGCCAACCTGTGTTTAATCCCCAACAAACTTATGGTCCTCTGAGTCCAACAGAAATAATCCCTGAGCACAGATCCAGGAGTAAGACTTGAGAAGCATTTTGTGTGTGGCCCCAAACAAAAACTTTTTCCAACCAAAGTAACGTATCATCCATTCTGTTTCTGGAGAATAAACAAGGTAAAAGAGACAGGAAAATGAGTTTCTGTTCCCTGAGAAATTTATTCTCACATTTGAAAAACGAGGATAAAGTTGGCAGAAGACATGATCTAAGATCTGTTCCAGTGAACAGAAACAAAACAAACAAAACTCATAAAACAAAATAGGGTTTTGAGATAAACATGCTAATGAGAGGAGAAATCAATAATGCATGCCATGTATATTTAAGCTTCACATCAAACCCTCTATTCATGACTTGAACTAAGATAAGGAAATGATTCAAGGTGAGTACATAGCTTTGGCAAACACTTGAACTAACAGGATATGTGAGACAGAAAGGTTAAGTCCAAATGGTGGTCCTCTTGTGTAATGATTTTAGTATTGGATCTCTAACAGACTATGGCATATTACAAAGATTCTTTTGTCATGTTAGGATAAATATGGCAATGGGTAATATGTTACTACTATATTACAATGAAAATAAGTTCAACAGAGTCCCAAGAGTGAGATGAGAATGTGTGATATGTTCTTTACCAAGGTATTAGATTTTACATAGGATTTAATACTTAAAAATGTATATTATGTTATATCATCCCCAAATTAACTCTAAACATTTTATCATTTCAAAAGTTAAAGAGGAAGAGATAATACAGCAAGAAAGCACATTTGCCTTACATGTAACCCAGCAGGGTTTGATTCCTCTCAAGCACTGCCAGGAGTCGTCCATGAGCACAGAGCTAGGAAGAAACCCTAAGCATAGCATGATGCGCCACCCTCTCACCAAAAAAAAAAAAAAATATATAGGAGAGAGAGAAGAAGAAATTAAAGAATGGAAATATAAATAGAGTAATGTAATATATTTATCTCAACTTTTTAAATGTACATGGAAAGAAAGAAAACATGGAAAACTACATCAATGAAACAGTGATCTAGAGTTCAGGCAGAGAAATGTATTGGAAGCTTGCCTTTTGATAGTTTTAGATACAAGTCACTACAAATATGAAATAAAGATAATATTTTAAGTGAAATAAAGATAAGAGACAACATTTGATTGCATATGAATCTTTCTTACATGTCGTGACTTTTAAAAGAAAAATAATAAAGAAGATATATAATTATACACATGCAGGCCCTCCCGTTGATCGTCGATTTGCTCGAGCGGGCCCAGTAACGTCTCCATTGGAGACTTTGTTGTTACTGTGTCTGGCATATCCAATACTCTCGGTAGCGTGCCAGGCTCTCCGAGAGGGGCGGAGGAATCGAACTCGGGTCGGCCATGTTGGCCGCTTGTAAGGCGAACGCCCTACCCGCTGTGCTATCGCTCCAGCTACACATGCACATATAAGTTATATGAGATCAATTAATTGCTTCTGTTATGTTGACATTGCTGACATTTTTGTTATAGTCATGACTTTTCTCTCTTTTATTAACAGTATCCATGTTTTCATGCTTTCTTTTGGTGCTTAATAAACATATCTAAAATGAATTAAGTTGTAATCTGATGTTACTAATGTTTACTTGTGTTATTTAAGTAAAATGAATATGTTATCATTATATAAAATATATATTTTCAACTTGAAAACTGTAGTGAGCCCTTCAAACAATAAAAGTGTACTGATTCAGCAGAATGCCTGGTTTTTTAAGATCTGCTGACTAATCCATTTATTCTGAATCAAGAAATAACAATCAAACAACAGAAAGAAAAACTTGCAATTGGTTTATACTGGTTGGGAGATGAAGGTTCTAAATATCTCTCAAGGTCATTCCAACATTTATCAGCTTTTAGAACCAGAAAATTACTGTTTCTATCTATTCTGTCTACTGTCATGTAGTATAAACTCATTTCCTTCTCTTGATTCTCTGAAACTGGATCTCACAATCACAGAATTGTTTTATTTTTCAGAAAATAAAGAACAAAATAAGGTCCTATCAACTGAACAACTGAGAACAGACCATGCATAATAAGGCAATAATGAGAAAATACAGAAGCATAATAAAGGAGATTGGTAACCTATATTTCTGTGTGAAAAAAATACAACATTTTTTATAATAATGATAGACCCAGTTTATCCAGCTTTCAAAAGATATAAAAGTCATCTTTTAATGGACTGAAGAGCAATACTTATAATGAAAGTAAAATATATTCTGTTCAGATCAAAAGTACTCCCCAAACAATTTACACACAACTTTATACTTTCATTCGATAGTCTAGAGAGTGCTTTTAGGTATTCACTTGAGACAGATACAATTATAGCATACTAGAAAAAGCTTAAAATTGATTTTTTTACTTTCTTAATATAAGGGGATTACAATTAATTTTATACTTTTTAAAGCACAAACAACTTAATCTGATATAGAGTACTCAGGACAACAAAAAATCAGGACTATTCAAGCAATTCAGAACTATTGTGAATCATAAAGAATCACAGAATTGAAAGAATATTTTCTTACAAAGATTGTTATGTAAATATACTACAAGTTGTGTATATTTTAAAATCTTTACATTAGTTTAACGTCTATACAAACAGATTATATGAATGAAAAAAAAAGCAGACTTCTATTTTTTTCTTAACTATAAAAAGAGCAAAATGGTGATTAAAAAATAAGGCCTAAATAAAAAACAAACAGCAAGATACCCATGAAAATACCCTCCTTTTTCACTGCTTCCAGGAATGTGTTGCAATTTACATTTTGGTCAGCTGAGGTTCAAATTATCTAGCTCCATGTGTGACAGGAACCCTCCGGCCTACTTAGATCCTTAAGGACAAAGAGGATAGTTTCAATTATTTCTTTTGAATGACTTATCCAAGGTTAACCTCAGCATGGGGCAAGGTATTGGGTGCCTCATGCATGCAACCATGTAATTATGCAGTTAAGTCAATTTTCTTAATTAATTTAGGTATGCTTGAGAAGCTAATATGTCTTGAATCTGAAAATTCCTGTAGCTCTGTTACCAAAGAGAATTTAGGCTCCCTGAAGTGATCCAATTGATCACATCTTTCATAAGCTTTGGAAAGATGACTTTAGGCAGAGGAGACTGAATTCTTGAAGTTTAAAATCTTGCATAAAAATGGCCTTTAAAAACAGACTTGAGTAGCTGTGTCTGAAACCACCAGTTTACCTGGTGGTTCTGTGTGCATAAAAGAATCTGCAGGGATATATACACATTGGCCCTGTCTGGAGTTAAATGAATCAGTAATGAAACTCAGACACTAGTCACAGGAGGAAATTGAGCTCAGCCAAACAAAAAATATGAAGCCAGTCGGTGACAGTTTGCCAAAATATTTTCAAATGAGGTAAGGAGTAGATGAGCCTAAGTGACAAAGGAGTGGTTCAGATGTATCAGACTCAGTTTTATCCCTTGCTTAACACAGCCTCACATATCTTGATCCCTTGACCCTGAACACATGTACCAATCCCAACACAGCTCTTCTCTCTAATAATGGAGCCTACTACCTTCTCTCTATTGTTCCTTATTTCCAGTTTCATTTTTGATAAGACCAATATTTGCTGTGCATTAAATGAAGGACTCATTGCTCAGCTCATTTTTCTCCATGAGTATGGTTTATAATAATGGGCACAGTTAGAACTTTTCCTCCCTAGAAGGTTTAAGTCACTTGCTTACAATAGCAGCACACTACTCTGGGACAAATGATGGACTCATTTTTCCCTTTTGATCTCTGTCCTGAGCACAAATCAGGTGTGGGTGAAATAACGGAGAAACAGCTTTTTCTAAATCAATGTACAGTAGAATTACAAAACAAAATAAATCAAAATAAAAAGAAATTCTGTATAGAAAAATCTGTGAATAGTCAGGTTTGAACTGGCCTCCTAAACTCAGACTTCTAAAGAAGACTTCTTGTCAACAAAAGAAAGACACTTGCTTAGATGTGAAAATATCTGATGATTGTAAGCAAAGCAGGAATTTAAGGCAGAGTGGAGAAATTAGAGAATTTAGTCAGATAATATAAAATTAGCTAACAAGAATGCTGAAGCTGCTAATTTCCCCCCCACACACACACAAATCATGCGCATATATTTACTATATACAATCAATAAACAAGTAAATTTAATACATTTTAAAAGTCCTGCTATTATTAATTTTCATAAAAGAATTACTTAATTTCAGCTTTATGGTCTATTATACATGCATGCTCTAAAAGGATGAGATTTGATGAAAAGTATAGATATTGTTCATGCAACCTAGCAAAAAATTCCACGACTTAGATTTGATCAGGTGGTAACTTACAGAAAGCAGATACTGAAAAAAAAATGTAGACGAACTCTACAAGAAGCTTTTAACAATTTCAACATGAATTTCAAGTGAAATATTATCGCTAAAGGCATACTCATTCCTTACATTCTGAGGTATAGCAAGAAACATTAAATGCTGTCTTTCTAATTTTCAGATAAATAAATATCCTATGCTGAGTCATGATGTAAATTTTTCACATTTAAATACTACGCAGTAATACCATACATGTATCACGAAACAATATATTTAATAAAGGTAAAGGGAAAGGCCCTCCCGTTGATCGTCGATTTGTTCGAGCGGGCCCAGTAACGTCTCCATTGGAGACTTTGTTGTTACTGTGTTTGGCATATCAAATACTCTCATATATTTATTTATTTATTTATATATATTTATATTTATTTATTTATTTATCATATATTTAATGAGGACTTAAAATACACAAGTCTTGGGGTTTAACGACAAAGTTCTCGATGAGCAAATTAAATTTAAAAATATATCAAATTAGAATTGTATCACCATTGAACCAAAAGAAACAAATGAAAAATCAGGGTTGTACTTACCACAGTGAAGTTCATAACTTTCAAAATCCAAATTGTCATGGCTAAGTTAACTATCATAGTAACCAACAGCAGAAGGACAAAGAAGTATAAGCACCTCTTTCGCCATCCATAAATTCCCACTGGGTAAAGTTGTGCATTCTCAGCCCTTGGCAAGGTATTCTGTTGTGTTGCTAGTATGTATTGTTCTCGTGTCATCTAAAAATGAAAGAAGGAAGGAAAAGAAAAGAAAAGAAAAAGCATTCAAAAATAAAACCAATGACTTCTATTTTAAAAGATACAAAATAACAGAATAATGTGCAGTGAGTGCTCTATTAGTCTAGTGAGCTAACGGCGACTGTTGCATAGATAAAATTATTTATTCATTTAGGTCATTTAACCATTATTATTAATGTTTTTTTTCTGTAGAGTTAACCAACTACTTTTTATAATTATTAGAGAGATAATATTTTCAGATTGCCCAGAGCCAATAAGTTGTCTTTGTCTCAGAAATATCTGATAATTCCTACTCTTACAAGCAAACAACCATAATAAAGCTATCTTATCACAACCATATAAGCTATCTTATAACAGGATTTATCTATTCTTCAGGATAAACCGAGCCAACCATAAAAGTTTTTCTGTGCCTTCACCGGAAATTGCTCAGTATAAATATTTTAATAAAATGTAAGTGTATTAAGAAGTATGAAACGAAAATTTATTTTACTTAGAATTCCACAGTTGCTTAATGAAATTTTTATTTAAAATATTATTTTAGTTTTATGAGTGAGAAAAAAAATAGTCTATCAAGACACCACAGTGTACTGTATTATCCTACAATATGATTCTTTAAAGCAGAAATCTGCTTTGTATGGGCTGGGGAAGGCATAGTGCACGATCTTCACGTGCAGAATGCCTGGGTTCCTATCATGGGATAGTCCCCTTAGTACCCAAAAAGCTTGGCACAAAGAGCCCCTAGGCACTTCTGGGTGAGACCCCCATATAAATAAAGTTTACTTCTAAATTGATGGGTACAAATTAAAGCATTTTTACTCTCTAATACAGTCTAGAAACATGAATTCAAATGTACAAGAAGGAGCTTAGGAAATAGCACAAGGATTAGCGCACACACCTTCAATATCCCTGACCTGTTTGATGTGCACAAGAATCACCAGGTGCAACCCTGGAGGTCCCAGAGCTTTGGTGAACATGACCCTGACCATGGAAGTCCAGAGAATAGCAGAGCCCAGCAGCACCTTCATCTCAAGCCTAGCCTTAGAGCATCTGACCATTTTGCTCAACAATCTCTTGGCCCCCAGAGCACTGGCTGGAGCTCCCTTAAAATGAGATAAAAAATGAAATAAAATAAAATAGTAAAAAAATTCATGGGCATCTACTTTTTAATAATAAATATTTGTAACTATAGAAACATTATTTTTTTGACCAAACATGATAACCTCTCAGTGTCTGTATTGCAAACCATAACGCCCAAAAGTAGAGAGAGAGTATGCGGACTATTGTCTGCCATGGAGGCAGGGGGAGGGTGGGAAATGGGAGAATACTGGGGATATTGGTGGTGGGGAATGTGCACTGGTGGAGGGAGGGTGTTTGATCATTGTGTGATTGTAACCCAAACATGAAAGCTGATTCAATAAAATAAAAAAAAACATTATTTTTTACAAAACATTATATTTATTGGAAAATATTGTGCAAATTATTTCTCTTTAGGTTTTACTCAGACTGTTTTTATTGGGTATATCTAGAACTAATGTGCCAACAGAAATAATGCTGAATAAATCATATCAAAATAGAAGTGACATAAATAAAGAATTAAAGGTACCAAAGTTATGATTTTCACTGGCTCAATGATGCTCTAAACAAAATGTTTTGAAGTGAAGGAAAATAAGCTATTTCACATTTTTCCACTTTTGTTTAAATTTTCAAGTTGTAACTTCCAGAGGCCAGTGAACTATTTCAGGCTTAAGGAACACACCTTGCCTGCAGCTAACTCTGTTTTATCTCCAGCACCACAAATTCCCCCAAGTGTTACTGCTTTTACCAAAAGTCCATGTAGCACCACATCCTCAAAGTTCCACCATAGTTGGCTCAGAATCTCAGTGAAGTGAGCTCTCTGTGGGATCCCTAGTCTTTCCAATAGAATAAAATCTTGCAAGTACATTTAACACTATCATATGTATTTCCTCCAAGTTTAGAATTGAAGTGCATAGGGATCACATAATCAAACATTTTAATTAATCAAATAATAATGTTAGATTCAAAGTTCTAATAACAGCAGAGAAAAGCTTTCATGATACAAAGTTAACTTATTATTTATCTGCTAACATTACTCTTTAAGATAATAATTCATGAAGATGAGAATTTTAGTCTTGTAAATTCTAATTTGAAAGAGAGATGTTCTGGGTCTGGAGAGATAGTACAATGAATAAGGTGTGCTTGCTTTGCCTGCAGGTGACTTGGGTTTGATCCATGGCACTCCATTTGGTTTCTAAATCCACCAGGAATAATCTCTGAATGAGTGCAGAGCCAGGAGTAATGACTAAGCACAGCCTGATGTGGCCCAGAAGCAAAAGAGAGAGAGTGATCAGAGGGGAAGAGACCGATCAAAGGAAGAGAGGAGAAGAGAGGAGAAGAGAGGAGAGGAGAGGGAGAGGGAGAGGGAGAGGGAGAGGGAGAGGGAGAGGGAGAGAGACAAAGACAGAGAGAGACAGAGAGAGTGAGCGTAATGTGCAGGAGATGACTTTGCTAAAGGACTTATAATTAATTTGATCATGATTACAAAACGTATTGAGAATATGTTATGAGATGAATATAGAAGGAACTTCAGGAACTGTCCAGTTTGTAATGACAAATACGATGCTCTCTTGCCACATGTATTCATTGGTCAGACTGCCTTCCCATCCCCTATAGCCAATGGCCATGGACGAAAAAAGGAGAAAATGGAGACCAGGATAATTGGTGATCAATTGTCATTTATTCCAATCTAATCTTCCTTTGTCTTCTTCAATCTCACTCACTGCCCATATTCCTCCTCATCCAGACCAATCTCACAGCCTAGTTATAGAAAACAGTTTGGTGTAGCAATCGCACCAGGTGAGATAGCACTATCAACATATGGAAGCCCTTTCTTCCAGGGAAGCTGTAGTAAAACGAAGGTATCCTTCAGCTAGGAGATCCACCTGAGGGCAGAACTTCCTCTAAGGGTGTACTTCTCTTTTCCTTAGTTCATAAACAATCATCTTAGATTTACTCCTTAATAATCTTTCTAGTCTTTTTATATGGGCATAGTAAGATATATTAAGCTTATATGATGGCTCTTCTGGGGACATCTCCTTATAGATCTCAGACTACAGTCCCCAGGCCTAGTCCTTCTTAACCTTAGCAGGGTTCTTGTCCAGTCACTTCCCTTTGGGTCATGGCAGCATTTTCCCACGACCATGCTTATAATTTATCATTAGTTTCATGGCACTTAGCCTGACTTGTTTTGATGCCACGTTAGTTTAAAGTTTGCCCTGGGTCCATCCACTACCTTTGTTGGAATCCTGCTTCTGGGGTGCTAGGAACTAAAGACAACTGTGGCATAAGTGGACTAAATATGACAGATGTCCAGATGACTTTCAAAGTCAATGAACTTCCAAATTACAAAAGCATAACATTAACTGTCCTTCTATGTCTATACAAAAGGACATTACTCTAAAGTAAACTATGCAAAGGACATAAGGGAAAGAGAAAATCAGTGTTTCACTTACAAATACAAAATCCATATCTCTGAAGAAACTGACTTTACAAGTCACAGCTTCTGGTTAGAGGAAATGAGTGATTAGCAGATTGAGAAGCAGAGCATAAAGGAGAAATTAAAGATGAATACAGAGGAAATGGGAGTGCTTTGGGAGTATTGCGATGGATGGGTGTTACTCAGTAAACCTAAGTTATGTACAGCAGAGAAGATGTGGTCAGAGGAGAAATGGCAAACCAATGTTAAACCTGAAATGTTTAGAACTATAATCCAACAGTCTAGGATTAAGGGCAGAAGAGGAAAGAACATGGAAGTGATGAAGGGCAAGAGTGCACCAGTCTGAATTTGCCTGATGGCTGGAAGGAAACCTTCCTTGATAGAAATCATTTCAAAGAAATCACAAGTCAAATGCTGGGATTGTTTAGATCATGTACTGATAGTTTTACAAAGTAAATTGCTCTTCTATAACATTCTATTTTTGCAATATACATTCACTCATGAAAGGGTGATTAACATGCTTTAGAAAATAAAGATTTAATAAGCATCAGAAATTAAAAAAAACTTATAAAGAAAATGATCTTTCAGCAAAAAGACTCTTTTTGAAAAGCAAGAGATTTTTGCTAACGGTGTCAAAATTCTCCAATAATTAGTCAAATGGGGGAAAAATGCCAAGACTGTAAATAAACCATGAAAATATTTCATTCAATCTTTTTTATCATCTCAAGAAATACAACAGTTTATTAAACGTTAACTTAATGTTATTTATGTTATAAACCTTCATAGTCACAAAACATCTGAGAGTATCCACATTGTAAAAAGATAACAATGTTAGAACTTCCTTCAGAAAAAAAAATTGTTACTTAAATTTTAATATTTGAGATTTTAATGAATCAAAAGCATTTGGAGACTATGTTGCCGTAGCAATACTAGCAGATAAGAATCTTTAAAATTATTACTCTACATACACTCCACAGCAGCACAAGGGCCCAGGCAGCATATGCACATGCTTCCTTTCTCATGTGTTGCTGAAGAGCACATGTGGTAATCAAGCACATGTTTTCCCAGCAGCTCCTCCCTTGAGATGTGTACTTTTATATTTCATATATACTGCTGGGATGTGGAGAACCCCATGTTCTCTGTTGAGCATATTACTCTCTTTTATCTCGCTCCTTCCCCTTCCTCAAAATGGAAAAAAACCTGTTTTTAATTTTAAAAAGTACCACTTTAAGAAATTTAGCAAATTATCCTAAATTTTAAGCTCGTCACAATCTTTACTTAAAGTTTTACATGATTATGCGTTTTGAAGTACTAAAATGTTCTGAAGTATCTGGTTTCTTTGGCATTATAAGAATTCTATAAAATATCATTATACCAAAGGAATTATCAATCAAATGTACAATCACAGGGACCCATAGTTTCTCAGAACATCAAGTTGATTCCCAGAAACAGAGATGATTGCGATTTC